CTTTACATTTTAGAATCAAAGCCCCGCAAATTTCAGCAGCCCTGCCAGGCCTGCCCCATGCCAGGGTACCCCCCGCACCCCATCCCAGGCTGAGGCAGCCTGCCACACACACTGCTCCTTCCTGGAAGATCTTTTCTCCTCCTCCTATCCAAGATCCCCCTCCCTTCCCCTTCCCCATTAGTTTAATTAGCACTAATGGAAAGTGGGCTCCATCACCGCTTGGCAAGCTGCCCGGGGGATGCCGAGCGGGCACAGGCTATAAATTACCTCCAGAAAGCCTAAGGGGAGGGGGCGGGTGGTACCCAGTGCTGCTGGATTTACCTGTACCCGCTCAGCAAAGCGATGCCAGGGTGTGGGGACTACACCAAGCCAGTGCCACGCTGGGAGCCGTCCTCTCCTCCCTCCCCAGGGATAAGGGCGTCCCTGTCCCACTCTTTGCCCAGGAGGGGGTGCTCAGCCTCTCTGCCCCATGGAGACACAGGGGTGGCAGGAGAACCACAGACAGGTGGGTGCCTGCCCAGTGTCCCGGCGCAGCCTCCCTCCCCTGTGCCAGCAGGTACCTGAAGTTGGGGGCCGATGCCCACTCCAGCGCCAGGCAGGCCAGGTTGACAGTGGCGTAAACCAGGAGGAAGAAGGTGGTCACAACCCCTGCGATGGTGTTGAGCTTCCCAGAGAAGAGCACCAGCTGCAGAGAGCAGGGAAGGGCACAGGGTGAAGGCAACCCCTGGGATGGCACGTGCCTGATCCAGCCCTGCTGAGCTCGGGGCATGCCACAGCGGCGTGCCCAGGAAGGGTACAGGCAGGAATCCCTGCCCCTTGCTGCGATTTATCCTTCATTTATGGGCTCAGGGAGGGAAGGGCACCACCGCAGCAGGACACCCAGCACAGGGGGCCTGGGGAGGGATCCCCCAGGGGCAGAGGAATGTGCCGGGCTCCGCAAAGCCCAGCCCAGGTGCCCACCTTCACCCAGTGAGGCTGGGAAAGGAGCATCGCCGGCAAACTCACCTGCACCACCAGCCAGGAGAGGATCACTGCCATCACTGGGTTCCCGCTGGCAGATGTCTTCTTGGCCAGTGCCAGCGCCCGGCCTGCAGGCAGAGAGCGGAGGGTGGGCTGGGGCACCCGGCAGGCACCAAGAGCCAGGGGTCCCGTCCCCACCTGGGGTGCTGGGGTGAGGGGAAAACACCAGGGTACCCAGGTGACCACACGCCAACCCACAAAGCATCACCCTACAGCAGAAAGGGGGTTCCCTGGTGCCAGGGCTGGTCCCCAGCTGGGACAACCTGCCAGGCAGGCTCGTGCTCCGGACACTTACCGAAGAGATCATCCCGGGCCAGGGCGTAGAGGATGCGGGATGCCCCGATGAGGTTGCTCATGGCTGCGGAGAGGGTGGCAGCGTAGATGCCCACGGTGACCAGGGGCGGGAAGATACTAATGTCGCGCAGGAAGCCGTAGTCTTTCTGCAGGAGGGTCCTGGGGAGGGAGAGGCACACGCTGGCACCCACGTCAGCTCAGGCAAGTGCGCTCTGGCACCGGGCACACCCCGGCACTGATGGCCGTGGGGAGGGGATGGGTGGCCGTACCTGTTGCAAGTGGCACACATGAGGAAAGCCAGCAGGTTGTAGACGAGGTAGGTGAAGAGCACGGCCGAGATGGTGCCCCGTGGGATGGAGTAGCTCGGGCGCTTCAGGTCCCCTGCGGGCAGGAGCAGGCAGCATTAGCGCCCGCAGGCACAGTGCCCTCCTTGGCTCCCACTCCCACTGCTGCCCAGCCCGGCACCCCCTGCCCATACCTAAAAAAAAATTTTGGGAGCATGATGCCGGTGCAGCCGTTGAACATCACCGCGAAGACGGAGCTGAAGCTCATCATCTGCCCGGTGGTGTAGTCCACCCCATACCCGCCTGCAGGACAAAGGCCGTGACGGGCTGCCCGGGGCGGCACAGCCCCACCATACCCTGCCCTCGATGTCCCCATACCCAAACCACGGGAGAAACCACCCCACGGCACGTGCTTTCTGCCACAGGCTCCCCTACCCTCCAGCGAGCCCCGGGCG